GGGAGGCCGGTGGGAGCGGCAGGTGAAGGCGGAGCGGCTGGGGCAGGGAAGGCAGCGCTGGCCCAGGGCGGGTGTGGGGGGCACCGGCTCTGCCTGGGGCTGGAAGGAGCGGGTCTGGGTCACTCAGTGAGCATCGGGAGAGCGTGGTGGGGGCAGCAGCCCTGCTGGCGTTTGAGGCCACGCTGGGAGTGGGAGAGACTCGGGGAAACTGAGGCAGTTTGGGAGAGGCCTGGGGAGAGCGGAGGGAAGGTGCGCTGTGCGTATTGAAGCAGCAGGGAGCTGGCTGTGCCCGTCTCCCGGCTCCAGCCAGGCTCTGGTCGGCGGGGTCTCCCTGAGGAATGTGAAGACTCCAGGTCCCGGTCCAGGGTCCAGTGTCGGCAGAATCGCCAGAAACACTCACTCCTCCGCGATACGCGTTGTTTAGTTTGCACAGAAGAGCAGACGGAAAACAGCTCTTCCATTGTCCCGGGCTGTCGCTGTATTTTCCTTGGACCCCGTGCAGGGTCCCGTGGAGGACGGGGCATTGCTGGGCCTCATCTCTGGCCAAAGGGAGCCAGACGCTGAATTCCGCTGGAGCGCTCCTCGCTCGGGACTGACTGGGTTCCAGCGTCTCCCTCTTTTTCTCGGAATGTAGGTATTTGTTGTTGTTGATAATATTACGGATGCCTCCCCTTCCCCCTTCCCCTCCTGCCGGCCCCTCCCCTCCCCCCGGTCTGCACCACCCTGCGCCCGTCCACGGCTGTGCCTGTGAGTGTGCGAGTCCTTGGGTTCTCTCTTCCGTCCCCAGCCCCCCGCGAGGGGTGCCGTCTGTCCCATGCCTCCCGCTGCGGGTCCTACGTTGTTGGTCAGTTCGTTTGTTCGTTAGATTCCACAGGTGAGTGAGGTCAGGTGATGCTTGTTTTTCTCTGGCCCCTTTCACCCGGCCCCACACGCCCAGGTCCCTCCCTGTCGTCCCGAAGGGTAAGATGTCCCTCTTTTCCCAGCTGCACAGTATCCGGGTGTAGATGCACCACAGCTTTTTATCAGCGTCTCCTCGGACGCGCTGGGCCCTTCGTACTGTTACGGGGGTGAGCCTGGTGCCTTCACCGCAGAAGGCAGCCTCCATGCGGCCGGGCCGTCTCTGGAGCCGGGACCCCCGTGTGTACGGACTC